AATTTAAATTATTATTAATTTTGTTATGTGCTTCTGTTATTCTTATAGATTCTTATAGATGTTTATTTTAAATTACTATTTAGGTTTAATTTATTTTTTTATTCCAGTTTTAGTTTTACCTCAGTTTTCATTTTTATAAAAAAAAAAAAACATAGTTTAATGAAAATGTAAATTAAATGATGCAAAATAGTCAAAAATTGTCAAAATAGTCATATGAACCACCTAAACAAGATGTGTTGTTTATTTTTAACTTAGAGTCAGTGTTTTTTATTATTATTATTCATATAATATTATAATTGTACAAATATTTTGAATTAGCTTTTATTTTATAGTCTGTTTTCTGTCCCCCCACCCCAATTAGTAATTTGAGTACTTTTTAAAATTATACATGTTGCCTCGGCAACAAACTAAAATAAGTTGTTTAATCTAATATTTATATTTTATTTTATTTCAGTTAACAAAAATGTTTTCAATGTTTCAGATAATAAGGCTGTTTGGAGTTTGTGTAACTATCAGCTGAATGAACACTGGTGGAAGTGGTGCTCATTCCTGGCAGGCTTCAGTTTGTGGTCACTATCTCCTGCAGCGTCTGGGTTTCTCTCATCAGAAACTCACTTGTTGTACAGCACTATATCAGGCAGCCAGATGTGTCTGGAGGGGATCCGGAGCTTGTCGATTCCCTCGTACTCCGCCGGGTCCCACGACAGCCGATAATCATTCCAGTTCTGCAGATAATATCGCAACTGTCTTATCATTTCATATATGAGCTATCCCTCGCTCAGACAATTACACGCTCGATTAGCGGCGTGATGAATGGACGTGAGCGCACTGATTATAGGATAAATTCAAGATCAACACAAGGACAGCAGAGCTGATGATGCTTTAATCGAGTAATAATTGATTAATAATCTGATGAGCCTCTGACACTGACCTGAGTGAGCCAGACGTTCGTCGTCATGATCTGCTCTCTCTCATTCTGGAAGCACAGAAATAATAACACACAAACACAGCTGATACTCACTTTTGAAACACTTTCACAAGAATGGAAACTTGCAGGGATTGCATATATGTTTACATTATGTAGAAACGTCTTTTCAGCAGCATGAACCCATATGTGATCATAATCATTTCTACACACAGACTTGTACTTTGCAAATAATGGATTATGAAAACTGAATTTAGATTACAGGTGGAGAACACCAAAGACTCATTCAGATATTTTACTCAGTTAAAATATCACAGAAAAAATACATGTTGAAAGTATTACACAATGAATATCAAAATGTATTCCCAATCTCATGCCACACTTTTTTAGAAAATGTGAATAAATAAATGAATGAATAATTTTCCATTTCCAGTTGTTTTTTCTATACATTATTTAGAAAATTTTAATGAATCAATTAATTATGTGAATATTTCCATAAGTAATCACACCACACTGAATAAAAATTTTACAGCAATTTTTTTTCAGCAATAACAGCTGTGAGTATATATATATATATATATATATATACTCACACACAATATGATATTTAATGGGACATACATGATACATCATTGTTTTTAGTGGCTGGTTGTGAAATCAAATGTGGATGAACGTATCAATATCTCTGTCTGTTTAGGACTCACAACTGATTGAAATGCATTTTGAAATCTCTGATGCAACTCTCAATCTTTTTGGCCATTGAAATACACTACAAAACCACTGATACTGACATACTGAAGGCTGTGGAGGTCTGGTTTTGACTCACCACACTGATGAGCTGCGCCAGAGAAACCTGCAGGAGAACCGTCACTCTCTCGGTCCGGTTCAGCGCCGGCCGGATCAGTTTATTATAGCGCTCTTTACCCAGCAGCCAGTTCATCAAGCGCTCCTCTGAGTCCGCACAGAGTCCACCTGCAGACCGCCAGAAAACACCTCAGACCACACGACCACAGACTCATGCATGAAACCACCGCTCCAGCAGCTCGCTTAGTTTAGAAAACACAAAGATGGTCACAATATCCTACAGAAATACTGCATTATGATTTTCAGTCGAATGCACTTCTTGTACATGGCGACTAATTAACCGAGAAACTCTGTAAGAAAGAGACAAAGATGTTTAACACCTGGTGAAAACTGTGAAAATCAATTCCGTTGGGTTGCTCCCAGCTAACAAAAATATATGTTCTAAGAACATTTTGCTAACTTCCATTCTCTGAATGTTCTGGAAGAAACAATAACATTTAACAAACGTTAGATGAACATCCAACTCAAACATTTCAGAAGAAAAAAAAAAAAAAAAAGATTCCATGAATGATTTATAAATAACAAATGTGCAGCTGTGGTCAAAATCTTACATACACCTGTTAATTATTTTACCAAAATAAAAAGGATCATACAAAATGCAAATTCTAAATTTGAAGATCAGAGTAAATTGTACATATTTTGTCTTCTAGGAAACAAGTATTTTCTGTATCCTCTGAAGGGCAGTACTAGATGATAAATATGATATTTACACAAAATAAGAAAAATACACACATCCTCATCCCGTACAAAAGTATTCACCCCTAAGCTCTCAATCATGTTTCCTTATAGCACATCAGTGAATGTTTGCAGCTTCTGTAATAGTTGCGTTTGAGTCCCTCAGTGTGAAAAAACGGATCTCAAAATCATTCAGTCATTGCTGGAAAGGGTTCAAAAGATGCTGGAAAACCAAAGATTGTGCAGGAGCTGGAGGATTGTTCTGAAGAACCTTATTCAGGACAATACTAAATAAAAAATGACACACATTTGTACAATCCCTCTTATATATATATATACTGTATATATATATATATATACCTGGACTGATGTCTACCAAAATGTTCAAACAGCCCAATGAAAGGTGGCTTCAAATATAGAATTTTCACTCTTAGATAGACATGTGATTCCTGACGGCACAGTGTTGGTAAATGTTGTCTGTGTTGTTTATGAGCGGCTGCAGACGAGCTGCACAGTCAGCAGAACACAATCACAAGCAGCCAGCAAACGCTCAACATCACACACATGAAACACTCAGCCGGCAGTCTTCATCACACTGGATGCCAAGGAGATTCTGAAAATACATGTTTGTAACTAACAGTAAAATCAATGTTTGATGTAGTACAGTTGGGATACATGGATATTCCCGTTTCTCTGATCATGTAGTGTTACGGTAGATCAATATCGAAATCAACTAAAACTCTGTTTGAGTATGAGGACGTTTATCTGACAGTCTCATCAAAATCACACAAACATGATCCATCCAGGAATAGAGATGGATAATTCAACATAAATGGACAATATATACTAAATAAAGGAGTGAATGATAAACATACACACATAAAATACCCTGTCTGCACTCTGAATAAAGACAAAAAACCCTAAAATAAATATAAAATAAAACTAATAATTCCTCTTTTGTATGCAGTGTATCGCAGTACTATCTGTCACCTGGCGTACACATAATACACTATCACATTTCTATAATTAAAATCCGTTAAAGGATTGTTAGGCTGCATTAATTAGGTCAACCGGAACTGGGAACACTTCCAATAACACCCGATGTACTCGCTACATCATAAGAGGAATGGCATCTACGCTAATATTAGTCTGTTTCTCTCTTATTCCAAAGTCACCGTAGCCACCGGATCCAGTCTGTATCCAGATCAGATAGTGGATCAGCACCTAGAGTGGCCCCCCGACTGAGCCTGGTTTCTCCCAAGGTTTTTTCACCATTCTGTCACCGATGGAGTTTAGGTTCCTTGCCGCTGTGGCTTGCTTAGTTGGGGACACTTGACTGACTGCACAGACACTACTGGAAGAGAGCTGAACTGGATGATGAGATCACTCAATCATGAACTGATTTTAGCTGGAAAATGACTCTGTTATTGGCCTCTTGCATTACTGAAACTATTTTCCTGTTGACACTGTAAAGCTGCTTTGACACAATCTGTATATACATAAAGGTGACTTGACTGTATCAATTAATTAGTATCAGAATTTAAGCGAATATCATTTATTATCTTAATGAGCGCTGTCTCTGTGCTGTGATGCGGTCGGAAACCAGATTGAAATTGTCCAGGTATCCATTTGAGTTTAAGTAGTAGTTCAGCTGGTTAAAAACAACCTTTTCAATAATCTTGCCTATAAAA